ACTCTGACCTAACAATCATCAGGGTTGCTTCTACTCCCGAGATAGACAGCCCAGCCGGTCGAAAATTAAAATTTACCTTGCTATTTTTCTTAAAGTGGTGTTGGTGATTTTTTTAAGAACTCTGTCCTATAACAGTTGTTTGTTTGTTTGTTTGTTTGTTTGTTTGTTTGAGACGGGCTCTCACTATGTAACCCTGGCTGGCCTGGAACTCACTATGTCGACCAGAGATCCGCCCACCTCTGCTAAAATTCAAGGGCTCCTTGCCTCTTCAGATATTTTCAGGACCAAAATCCAAAAACCAACTTACTCTCACTAATTTTAATCAGTTGTTACTTTCCTTCCCTCCACGTGTATACAAGTGCCTGTCAACCATCGAGGACCCTGTTCAGATGCATGGAGAGAGAACCCCTGCTGTCTAGTGGACCCCTAATCCAGCCTTCCTCCCACGTCGACCTTGTCTAGCAGGAAGTAGCAAGATGACAATGGCACCCCTATCCTATAACACAAAAGGCTGCACTATTAGGGTTTCAAACTGCAGCAGCCCTCCCCATCTCCAACAAGGTCTCACAGACTTTGGATTTCTTAAGCCCCTGAGAAAAGGAAACTGAGTTGATAAGCACCTTGTTCTTTGAAGTCAAGAGAAGCAGACTTTTCTCCACTGTTTGGCCAACACAGCAGGCTTCCCTTTTGATCTCTAAAGAGAACAGATTTTAACAGTCTCACTCTCTCCCTCCCCCCTCCCCCCTCCCCCTCAACTTTAAAAAAAATACATCTTCCCACCTTCTGCAGGAAGCAGAAGGCTCCTCCTTTAAAAGACCCCAGCTCTGACCCCAGGCAGACATTTTCTCTACCTGGAAGGGAATTTGTCCCATGTGTTCCTTTGCTAATAAACTCTTTTCTGATGGAGTTTTATCCATGTCCTGGTGCTTTTTCCTGATCAACTCTATCTGTTCATTCTCTGGCTACTTTTTACCTATCAATCACTACTCCAGGCCATACTGCTTAATACAGGGATTGAATCTGAATTTCAGCATGAGTTTTGGAGGAGACAGTATCATATTGTAACAAAATTGATTTCTACCCCTCTTACCCTCTTTCTGAGTGTATGTCAATTCTAAATTTAACTATTTTGTAAATTACATATTTATTTTTTTCATTTCTCATGCTTAAGTGCTTGGAATCATCTTTAGTTTTTTTGTTTTTGTTTTTGTTTTGTTTTGTTTGTTTTGTTTTTGTTTGTGTTTTTCAAACATAACCAAGCAGTAAATCTATAGGTGCTTCCTTGGAACACACCTAGTATTTGGTCTCTTCTGAATGGCTCTGTCCCCACTAATTTGCACCTGGTTCTGTAGGTGATTATTACAACTTCCTTGTGATGCTGATTGTTAATTTGACATGATCTAGAATTACCTAGAAGACAAGCGTCTGGGCATGCCTGTAAGGGTTAATTGAGGCAGGAAGACCCAACCTGAATATGAGTGGTATCATTACTTAGGTGGGAATCCCATACTGAATAAAAAGAAGAAAGTAAGCTCAGCACAAGCATCCATTGTTCTCTGCTTCCCGCATGTGGGTGCAGTGTGACCACCAGCCTCCAGCTCCTGCTGCTTGGTAGACTGTCTGTACCCTAGACCTGTGACCCAAAGCAAGCCCTTTCTCCCTTTAATTGTTTTTTCAGGCAATTTTATCACAGCTGCAGGAAAACTGAGACAACTCCCTTTGCTTTCCACTCTTGCTATTGTTTTAATTTTTGTTCTTAAATTTAAACCTCTAAAAAATTACATGTACAACATCTCTACATGAAGTCCATGTGTACAGCTGAAGGCTACCATAGCAAGAAACAGTGCCAGACAGGAGAACTCTTCCTTTGAGTTGTTTGCCAGGGTAGCCCAAGAGACTCCCAAAATTACACAGGCTATTGCCACAGCCCTTGATTTCCTTCCAGAACCTGAAGGTAAGACACTTTTGCTGAAGAGAACGCATACTTCAGACACAGAATTTAGAGCAAAGGAGCTGGAACTGACCTGGAAGCCACCTCCCTGAAGGCTAGCTCTCATAGCTTCAGAGAGCGCTATACAAACTGCTGAGGGAGAACATCAATCCATAGGTCCAGCCCCAACTTGGGAGGGTGCCAATGGGGAAGGGGGATAAAGATGATTAAGATATTCTGTGTGAAACACACAAAAATCCAATAAAAATTTACAAATAAAGATTTTATTTTTGTGGTGTGTGTGTGTGTGTGTGTGTGTGTGTGTGTGTGTGTGTATGAGTTTATGTGCACCATATACATGCCAGTGACTCTGGAGACCAGAGACTGTTAGATCCCCTGGAACTGGAGTTACAGGTGGTTGTGAGCTCCCTGATGTAGGTGTTGAGAACTGAACTTGGGTCCTCTGGAGGAGCAATTAGTGCTCTTAACTGCTAACTATCTCTCTAGTCCCCAAGCTTGCTTTCTAAAATCTATTCTCCAATTAGTAAGGAAGACAATCCTTTTCAAACTGATCTCATGTAATTTTGCACACAAAAGTCCTTAGTGTGATCACATTTCAGAGGGCAATCTAATTCAAAGTTTATGCTTCAGCCTCTTAGACTTTTCATTAATTTGACCCCCCTCCTGTGCCTCCCCTTGTTTTTACTTTTCTCTGATGTGTCTTGCTTTCCACCAGCCTAACTTTGTTCCTACTAGCCTTCTTGAAGTGTGTTCCTAGCTCAGAATTTCATCTTATGCATCCTTTTGAAATATTTCCCCTCCCTCTCCAGCTCTCTCAGGATCTGCACAGGTCACCCCTGAACTTTCTGCAGTCCTCTACCCAACTGCTCACATGTACGCCATCAGAGAAGCTTTTCATGATCAGTACTGTCTTCCTTATTAACTGCCTCAATTTTGTTCAATGGCATCATCATGTTCATATACTTTTCAGGCATTTTTGTAGAGTTTAAGATCCACATATATAAATAATAGTTTTCAAACATTTTATTTCCAGTGGCCAAAATAGTGCCTGGAATATAATAGGAATTTAATAAGTATGTGCTGAACGAATTAAGCAAATAGATGAATCAGTGAATGCCAAACACAGAGTTAAATCTTAGGTGTGAAAAACCCATTGCTCTATAAAATATGAAGAAAAGAGCAATAACACTAAAAACATTCAAAAGTTAAAATTTTATTTATTATTGTGTGTGTGTGCATACAATTTTGCTGGTTCTCTTTTTCCATCTTTGTGTAGGTTCTAAAGATCCAACTCAGATCACCAGGCCTGGACAGCAAGCTCTTTCACCTGCTGAGCCATGTTGCTGGCCCCTATTTTTTTTTTTTTTTTTTTTTTTTTTTTTTTAGCCCAGCCTGACTGGGGTAAGGTGAAATCTTAAAGTGGTTTTAATTTGCATTTC